ATGCTAGGCGGACCGGAGCCCAGGTCTGGGGTCCACATGCTACACGAAACCGGAGCGGGCGGGACTCACTTCTCACCAACAGTAATTTCTCTCGATCTCGCCAGCTTGGCTCGTACTCCCCTCCTCTCCCACAGCAATCCTCCTCCAACAGCGCTTCAGCGGCTCCTCGCCCTAGTCCTCGCCGCAGCGGCTCGTCGACGTGGGACAGATAACGAGGACTCCCGTCACTGCGTCGTGGCACCCTCGCCGCTCATGCGCCGAGCATGGCACCGTCGCGAGCTCTCCGCCATGTGCTGTGAGAAAAAAGAAAAAAGAATTTTGAAGAAAGAAAGAAAACTCAAGCGCGTAATTCTTTTCTTACGCGTGCCGGTGATAGTACTAGCACGCGCCAGTTCGCACCTGTGTCGAGCCTGTGTGCTGTGAGAGAGAGTTGTGTTGGGTAAATTCTTTTCTTACGCGCCGCCGTTAGCTGGAGCTTGAGGGCGAGGCGGAATCGCCCATGCCGTCACTGGAGGAGCTGCGGGCGGCGGCCGACGCTACGGCGGAGGCGGAGGCGGAGAGAGCGCTTGCAGCGGCAAGGGCAGCAGAGAACGTAGTTTCAGCAGCGAGGGCCGCGGCAGCGGCGGCGGCAGGCCGCGCGGCGGAGGCGGAGAGAGCGCTCGCAGCGGCGAGGGCAGCAGCAAACGCAGTTTCAGCAGCGAGGGCCGCGGCAGCGGCGCCTTGCGGAGACCCCGACGACGACGCCCTGCACACGGACTGGCTGGCCGAGCTGCCGCCGGAGCTGCACCTCCGCATCCTCGAGGGCGTCGACGACTTCTCCGACTGCGCCGCCTTCAGCCTCGCGTCGCCGCGCCTCGGCCTCCTCGCCCTACGCAGCGGCCTGGCGCGCTTCAAGGACCCTCTCTTCGCCGTGGCGATGCGGCTGCTGCTCAGCCAGCGTCTCGTCGGTACCTTCGGCGTGGTGACGCTCAGCGAGGACACCCTCCGCAGATACGCCGCCGACCGCCAAGCCAGCGCTGGCCACTTCCCATGGCTTGCGAGGGTGAGCCCGGCGCTCTGCATCTCGGCAGTAGAGGGGGCAGCGGACGAGCGTCACGACGAGGTGTGGGCGTTGCGACGCGGCGAGGAGAGCGGCGCGAAGCTTCGGGCGCGTCACTTGCAAACCGGGCAGGTGCATCACTTCAAGGGCGAGAAAGGTGCGGAGCGGATGGTGCGCGCGGAGTTTGCCGACGGCAACGTGCTGTACTTCGAGGGCGAGGAAGGCGCGCAGCGAATGGTGCGCGTGGAGTCTGCCGACGGCGACGTGCAGCACTACCTGGGCGAAAGAGATGCGGAGCGGACGGTGCGCATAGAGTTTGCCGACGGCGAAGTGCAGCACTACGAGGGCGAGCAAGGCGCGGAGCGAATGGTGCGCGTGGAGTCTACCGGCGGCGACGTGTCGTACTACGAGGGCGAGAAAGGTGCGGAGCGGAGGGTGCGCGTGGAGTTTGCCGATGGCAACGTGCTGCACTACGAGGGCGAGGAAGAGCGGATGGTGCGCGTGGAGTCTGCCGACGGCGACGTGCTGTACTACGAGGGCGAGAAAGGTGCGGAGCGGAGGGTGCGCGTGGAGTTTGCCGACGGCGACGTGCAGCACTACTAGGGCGAGCAAGGCGCGGAGCGGAAGCGCCAAGCTGGCGAGATCGAGAGAAATTACTGTTGGAGGGAAGGAGTGAGGCCGAGCGTTTTTGATCTCTGGATCTGTGGGCGCCCGCCCGCCGCCTCTGAGGGGGTCGGGCCCCCTAGACTGAAAACAAAAACAAGCTCGAAAACAGCCAAAATCAGCCTGCGAGAGAGTAGAGGGCCCACAGCGTCCTAATCTAAAATCTGCGGATTCAGGATTGAGGCATCGCTTTAGTGAGGCCAAAGTGAGTTTATGGATGGGTGAGAACGATGCGCGACACGGGGAGGCACGCGGACCGACTCGTCGGCGACTATGCTGCACGCCGTTTCAGAATTTTTCTCAGCGTGAGCGAGACGTGGAAGAGTGCCACCGTCGGGTAGGACGGGTCGGCCCGGAGCAGCGGAGTAGCCGTCGTGGTCGCGGCGAGCAGCGCCGGCCACTCCGGCGCCGCGTCGGCAACATGGGAGCATGTCCACCGCCACTTCGCGGTCGCAGCGCTGTTTTGTCGCTGTTTTGTTTTGCCTGGGGTGTCGACGGGCCCCCGGGGGCGACGGGGGTGCTCTCGCGGGGGGTCCCCCCAGTCAAGGGGGTCTGGGGCGCAGCCCCAGGTAGCCCGCCGCAGGCGCCGATTTTTTCGGGCTTTTTTGACTGATTTTCATGAGGTGTTGCTACTATTTTGGGACCAGTTGAAGCCTAAAAATGGCTACAAATACAGCCACAACAGCGGCTAGTCGTGAGCTGCTACTGTGTGGCAGAGCCCATAGAGAGGGCTTTCAGGAGCACTATTCAGTTTGATCCAGCTCAACGTTGCGGAGTAGTAAGACTGTTCCGTTACCGTGAGCGGCCGGCGGCCGGCGGCGGCCGGTGCGGCACGCGGAGCACTCCGTGAGCTGTGACGGGTGCGGACGAGCGAATGAGAGGTCCCTTTCAGTGAGAGATAGGCAGCCCTAGTCTCTAATAACACATCTCCCACAGATAGCGACCTCTCATTCGCTCGTCCGCGCCCGCCACTGCTAGTCGGGGCACTCCCGGCGTGCGGCCCGGTCCCGGTCGTCACTCCGGTTGCTCGTGTTCACACCGTCAGAACTCAGCTCCGCTAAGGATCCAGCGTCTGAGACTTGGGCATCTTACACAACTTTTGTAGTAGAGCACAATGGCACCCTTGGATCAAGTGGATCACTTCATTAATACCGTATATACCGACCCCCGTTTTCGGCCGCCGCGGCCGGAGAGCACCCCCGTCGCCCCCGGGGGCCCGTCGACACCCCAGGGTCGCCAAACGCCGCATGTACCTTTTCGGGCAAACCATCGAGCTGTATGTCGATTTCGACTTGACGGCGGCATGGAGGCATGATGCCTCCATGCCGCCGTCAAGTTGGAGCCAGTCTGCGGCGACCACAGCGCTCAGAAAGGTACATAGCGAGCTTTTCAGAGTCAAGCGATTGCGCGAAATCCCACACTGGTGGATTTTGGGGCGCTGTGGGCCCCCTAGAGAGAGGCACTGCGCGCCGCTGACCTCAATGTGGGGATGTGTGCCGACACCAATATACTGATCTAATTCTAAAACCTGGAAACCCTTGTTCAAAGCCGACCCTAAGCGCCATCCTTCCTGCTCTCACCTAATGCTGCTTCCCCGCGCCGCCTCCTTGGGCCCCCTTGGGCGTATTTTCTACTCCCAGTGGGGTCCCGGGCCCCCGGGCCCCCTCTTGTTTTCTGTTTTCTGTTTTTCAAAACGCCCGCCCGCCCGCCACCCCGAAGCGGCTCGGCCCCCCAGACGACAGGAAGTAACGTGCTAGGCTAGAGCAGACCGCTCCGCCTCTAGCAATCTCGCCGGCCGGCGAGGCACGGACGAGACCGTGTGTGGGGTCTAGTGAGGTGTCCATGGACGCCCTCCTCACAGGCTAGCGGCCTACTACTAGCCCGAACTCGCACTCATGGGAGGTGTCAGTTCATTGTATGAGTGTATGCAAGCAGAGGCGCGTGTGCTGATTCTAGATCGCACTTGGAGCTGCGCTGTTTTCTTAGACATCGCGCCATCGACATGGAACGCGTGCATCCTGCCCAGCCCTGTGCAAGAATGGCTGCGGCCGTCACGCCTTCCAGTCCTTCGCAACCTGCTACGTCCAGTGCGAATCCGGTTCCGGAACCCACAACTGGGACTGCGCCAAGAAGAACGAGGCAACGCTTGCCGCTGCGGTGGAGGCCGGCAGTGTTGAGGCCAAGCGCAAGCTTGGGATTTTACTTGCGAGCGCGGACGAGCGCGAACTTGGGATTGGCACCTCGGATGATGAGTCACGGTTCAGACAAAGAACAGCGAGCGCCGACTGCGAGACGAGCGAGCGCAGCAGCTGTTGATGGAAGCAGCAAAAGCCGGCGATCGCGAGGCGTTGCAACATCTGGCGTGGCGCGCTGGTTGGGGTGAGTGGGATGGACGACCTGTCGCTCTGGGACGGGCGCTCCCTCGTCTCCTCGTGGAAGCAGGATGCGACGACGGTGACTCTGCAGCTACTCGCTGGGTACTCCCTGGAGAGGTGCCGGAAGCTTCGTGGGTTGACATCGATTCAGACGTCTTGTGCTATGGCCCGCCCGGTGGGCCTTGCCACCGCGCGAAGCTCGCATCGAGCTTCGCGCCTCCCCCTCTCTCCAGCTCGTTCACCGGGCGTGGCGACTCACCCCTGTACGAGGCGACTTTCAAGAAGAACAGCGCCGGCTCAACGGTGGCCGTGTGTTTCGTGGAAGACCCGCTCTACAAGGAGATCCTGGACGCGTTTGACATCTGGAACTTCAACCTTGGGGCGGACAACTGCATGCGCTTGCAAAAGATGCGATACGACCCGGTTCAGTTGGCCGAGGAGATGACGGAGATGCTCAGCTTGGCGCAGGAGCGAGACCCGAACGCGTCTCTCGAAAGCTTGCGAAAGAGCATCGAGGAGAGGGAGACGTTGAAGCGGGAGCGGCTCGTGGCTGCCACCCGCAAACTGCGGGAGACTGTCGGTTCGCTGGCCAACACCTTGGCCGAAATCGACGGTGCGATCGACGGCGGAGACGTCGATGCTATCAAGGGACGCCTGGTGCAAATCAACAGGCACCTTCGCGCTATCCCCGACTCCATCACCCCTTACGAGGGGTTCTCCGGGTCCATGCCCCTTTGAGAGCCGCGGCACAGTTTGCCTCAGCATAAATAAATAAAGAAAACACGAGGGAGTGGCGGCGGCGACAGCGGGGGCGTAAGTGGGTTTTGGTTTGTTTGGTGAGAGTCGCGTGTGACGTGAGCGTCGCGTGGCGCGAGCGATTTTTTTGCGCGGACTTCAGTCTCGACAGCCTTCCACCACCTCCGCGAGCCCGAGTTGCCGCGGATGCCGCTCCTGCTACTCCATGCGGTCCTCGCGCTTCAGGGCGGCGGCACCTCATCGCGCGGCGCCGCGCGCGCCGCTGCTGCCTGCATCGCGGCGCCGCCGGAAGCCGCTGGCGCCGCTCCTACCGCCGCCTCGGCTGCACGCCTGCGTGCAGGACGGTACTCCGCATACGAGCAGCTGCGCGGCCCCTACGACCGCGCCGCGCTGCAGCGATTCTTCGCGCTGCGGCCGCTCGAGTTTGGCGGGCGGCTGGTTGAGTTCACGAGGGCTGCCATCGCGATCCGCGACTCTTGGCGCCGCGAGTCGGACGACACCCAGGCTCGCGGTGTCCGGCTGCGAGAGCAGCTGGCGGTGCTCGGGCCGGTGGCGGTCAAGCTCGGCCAGACCCTCTCGCAGCGGCCCGACATCCTCGACGAGGAGATCTGCGAGGAGCTCAAGCCGCTGCAGACCACAAACAAGCCGTTTGACGACGCCGAAGCGATGCGGCTGCTGTCCGAAGAGCTGGAGTGGCGAGGGCCGATCGCGCCGGGGGTGTGCGCGCCGGAGTGCGCCGAGCCCGACGGCGCGCCGCTCTTCGCCTCCATCAGCGCCAGCCCCATCGCCAGCGCCTCGCTCGGCCAAGTCTACAAGGCGACGCTGCACGACGGCTCCGAGGTGGCGGTGAAGGTGCAGAGGCCCTCTGCGATGCGGCAGGTCCGCCCGGCCGCAAGCCATAGGCCGTAGTCGCCCCCAGCAGCGAGGGCGGCGGGCGCACGCAGCGCACGCCGCCGGTGCTGCTCCCGCCGGGGGAGTGTGGGACAGCAAGTCGCGCGAGTGCGAGTAGTCGGCAGTAGTCGGCAGTAGTCGGCAGTCGTCGGCAGTCGGCCTAGCAGGGAGAGCTCGGGCTGGCTGGGGCGACGCTGTGTGCCCAGTGTGGCCGACTGTCTCCCTCTCCACCCACCCCCGGCACCGCCTGACGGCGTCCGAACGCGCCCCGCCGCCCGAAGGTTGCGACCGACTTTGCGGTGCTAACGACGGTCAGCGCTCAGATTGATCCGTGTGGAGACAGTCCGACCACGACCTACTGCCGACGCTTCACGACACGCCTCCCACGCCACCGCTCACCGCCACGGACACACGCTCACGACACGCCTCCCACGCCACCGCTCACCGCCCGCCCTCCTCCGCCGCCGCGGCAGGTCCTCTACGGCATCCAGTCGACGGGGTGGGGGAACGGAGACCTGGTCGAGATCACCGACATCGTCGCCGCCGGCGTGTTTGAAGAGATGGACTACCGGAACGAGGCGGTCAACGCGCAGCGCTTCGAGCGCTCGCTCGACTTTTTGGGGTGCGGCGCCACTCCCGCGGCAGCGACACACCGCCGGCCCGCCTCCCCTCCTCCGACCGCGCACGCAAACCGGCAATCATCGGAGCGGAACGATGTCTCGCCGCCGCCCCGCTCGCCCGCCACGCACGCCCCGAGTCCCTCACCCGACGCGCCCGCGACACGCAGGTACGTCTCCGTCCCGGCGGCGGTGCCGAGCTTGCCGCCCACGCCGCGCGTGCTCGTCACCGAGTGGGTAGCAGGCCGGCTCGCCGAGATGCGGAGTTCGGGCCTCTACTAGCACTCGAGAAGGCTTCGGCTGTGCTCAGCTGCATGCCCTCTACTAGCCGTGGTACTGTTAGCCGTTGTACTCACGCGGCGCCCCGAGTGCAACGGCACGATCTTGTATTCACCACCCTGTCCTCGGTGTCTCCGCATCGCCATCCCCGCCCGTGCACTGACCCCCCCCCCCAAACGATCCGGTTCCTTTCCAACTCAGGCCGACACCTAAGCGACCTCTCTCGCGAGGAGGGGACGCGGATGACAAACATGGCGGTGGACGCCGTCACCGCCTCGCTCGTGCTGACTGGCTTCGTCCACGCCGACCCGCACGAAGGCAACATTATGCTGGGCGACGACGGGCGGCTCTACTTCCTCGACTTTGGGCTGATGTCCGAGGTGCGCGCCGAGATCATGGAGGCGTTCGCGTACGGTGCCGCGCTTTAGATGCGGGACGTGCGGACCCTGGCAGCTGGCGCTCCCGAAGGCATGGGCTCGGCTGCACTCGGCCGATTTGCGGCCGTGTTCGCCCTTGGGTTTGAATGCACAGCACGAGGCTGCGCCCCCGCCCTCACTTGCCCGTACTCGTGCCCCGCAGGCATCCAGTGCGTTCTCAACAAGGACTGGCGCGGACTTGTCACCGCGTTTGTCCAGACGGGCTTCGTGGGCACGGGGCCATCGAGCGCCGCGCTGCCTGACCACAGCTCCCGGCTTGAGGCGCGGCTTCTGCGTTCCTGCAGGCACGCCCATCGAGTACCGCGAGGACACGACGGGCGAGTTTGGCAGCGGCTCACCCGAGGCGACCTCCGACGAGCCTCCGCTCCGCACACACCGCCCCTGCCCAGCCCATGCTCACACCGCCCCTGCCCAGCCCATGCTCACACCCGCGCCCCAGATGGGAGGGTCAAGCCACGCACTTTTCCCCTGCCGCCCTTTTCCCGCCATTTTTCCCCCGCCGCCTTTTTAAACCCGGTTCCCCCCCCCCCCCCCCCACCCCCCCTGCAGGCCATGGCGGCGGAGCTCGAGGAGCGTATGGAGAGCGTGCCGGGAGGCACCTCGCGCTTCGGCGCGCTCTCTACGGTCCTCTTCGACATGGGCAACCAGTGGCGCATGCGCGCGCCGCCCGCCGCCAACCCCCCCCAAAGCCCGCGCGAGCGGGTTGACCGGGGGCCGTGCCGGCCGCAGGTACACGCCGCCGTACATCATCCTGCTCATCCGCACCTTCCTCACGCTCGAGGTGGCCACAGATCGGCCCCGGGACCACCCGCCATCGCCCGAGAGTGCCCGAGGCTTAGGCAAGGTCGCCTGCTCACCACCGCTCTCCCCACCCTC